CTATAATAGACATCACAATCTGATTGAACCCCATGGAGGTCATTTCAGTGTCTTTAAAACAACGCATCCATAACAAAGAGGCAATTAACATTGCATCTGGTGCTCCCTTCGGTTGCACCCGAGACGAGATGGAAGCAGTTCTCGGTCAAGGTGACTGCGATTTGGTCGGTACCGACCATCAACACGGAGCCGCAAATGAAGATAAACTCGTTGAATTTTGTGCTATGGCGAGTGAATTCGATGTAGGCGTGCAGCTCCGTATCAAACATACCCGCCACGCGTATCTCATCGGCAATCTGTTGGATCTCGGTCCCCTCGCGATTGTCGTGCCGCAAGTCGAGAACGTCGAAACGGTGGACGAGGCAATTAACGCATTCTACTATCCTCAGATGGGAAAACGGAGTTGGGGTCCCAGCAGTGGTTACGGTATCAAAGGCGGCATGGACCGTCTTGAGTATGCCGATTGGTGGAACAACACTGGTATTCTCATCTTACAGATCGAATCTGTTGATGCCGTGATTAACGTCCGAAAGTTCGCAAAACCCGGCGTGGATATGGTAACCTTCGGTGAGAACGACCTGAATTTTAGTATAGAATCATATCCGAGTTCCCCGTTTCAGAACCTTCAAGAGTGCATTGCGCACGTGCAAACGCAGTTGGCAGATACACACGTCAAAGTAGGTGCTGGGAGTTCGCCATCGGGTTCACTGTAAGCACAATTTCCCGATCGTGATTAATCCCGCCCCTGAAAAAAGGATAAGTTCCTGATGCTGAGACGTACAAGCCAGTTTTGCTGTTAGAAGAACGCCACGAAGGAGTATCACAATGTCAAAACGGATTAAAATTGGACTTATTGGATGCGGTATGGTAGCCGGTTCACATGTCAACGGGTATCTTGCACATCCGCAGCACGCCGAAATCGTTGCTGTTTGCGATACGGTGGACGCGAATGCAAAGCGGCGACATGCAGAAGTGCTGTCGGGTGCAGTCTCGCGCGCGGAAGCCGCAAAAACTGACGCAGAAAAAGCAGATACAGCGGAAGCACGCGAGCAATTGAAAGCAGATGCTGCACTCTGGGCAGAATATGCTGACAACGGCGTCAAAATCTTTAGCGACTACAACGAAATGTTGAGGGAGTGTGATTTAGACGCTGTTAGCCTTGCCCTACCGCCGTTTGTCCATGAGCCTGCCACAGTGACGGCGGCGAAAGCTGGAAAGCACGTCTTCTGCGAAAAACCGATGGCGCGCACAGCGACAGAGGCGAGAAATATGCGTGATGCCTGTGATGCCGCTGGCGTTAAACTCGCATACCAGAGCGGCGGCACATGCCTTGACCCAACAAGTTACGCCATTCGGAACTATATCGCCTCTGGGAAACTCGGTGATGTCTACTACGGTAGACTGACGAGTTACCGTGTCCGCGGCAGACCTAATGTGGATATGTTCGGTTACGGCAGATGGTTCCTCCATTCCGTTTACAGCGGTGGCGGCACCATATATGACACAGGCGTATACGATATCAATCGCACTATCTATCTGCTCGGTTCTCCACAACCTGCCACAATCAGCGGCATTGCTTATCGTGGGATGCTCCCTGAATACACAGGTGAAGAGGTCAACGACGTTGAAGAACACGCGTCTGTCTTTGTCCGGTTCACCAACGGCATGTCCTTTACTTATGAAAACGGCTGGTCGAGCAATATGGCAGGGCAACCACAAGGTATTTTCATTTTCGGTTCTCAAGGTTCGTTTAGCAACGATAAGCTTTTCCTTGAAAACGGAGAGTGGGATACCGACGATCAGGGCAATCGCAGACGCTATCAAGGCAATCTTGTCGAAACGCCGTTAGAACTGCCGGATACGTCTTTCCCCGATAAGTTCCGTGATTTCCTTGACGCTTGTAACAGCGATGCCCAACCTGTCAGTAATGGGGATGTCGGTCTGAAGGTTACAGAGATTATGAGCGGGGCACTCTTGTCAGCGAAACTCGGTCGCGAAGTCAGCGTAGAGGAGCTTTATGAATTGGAAGGACTCCGCGCTGAACCGATACCGGGTTGGCACATTCCGTAACGGAGCATTCAACGAATTTAAGGTTGACAAATAGCCATCCAATCGGGTATTCTTTTAAAGTATCTTTGGGTGTGCGGAAACATATACATCTCTTATTATAAGGGAAGGGGGTTAGTGGGTTTATGATGAATAGCCTCGAAAACGTAGCCCGTAACGTAGTGGAGGGCGGATTTAAGGGAGGCACTACAAACAGGAAACCTACGTCGTTTTCCCGCAAGGTAAAATTAAAGAATGAAACGGAGGATTAGATTTGAACAGTTTTGAGTTTTTTGAACCTACCACCCTCGCAGAAGCGTCTCAGCTATTTGCACAGGAGCACACGCAGCTCCTGGCAGGCGGGACAGATCTCGTTATCGGTATGAAGGCACTCACCGAAACGCCGCAGTCCGTGATTAGTTTGCAGAAAATTCCCGGATTGGCGGGTGTTACCACAGAAGCTGATGGCAGTATTAGCATCGGTGCAATGACGAAGGCACGGGATGTTGAGTTATCAGCGGATATTCAGAAGCACCACACTGCACTGGCAGAAGGTGCCGCAGAAATCGGCTCTATCCAGATTCGCAATCTCGCAACCATTGGTGGAAACATTGCGCACGCTTCTCCTGCTGCGGATACAGTTGCCGGTTTGCTTGTCGCTGACGCACAGGTTGACATCGCAAGTGCAGATGGCGAGCGGACCGTGCCAATCAACGAACTTTTCACAGGACCGGGTCAGACCGTCTTGGTGCCCGGTGAGATTATTGCACGCTTTCGTCTACCGAGCCCGATGTCTGGTTCCCACTATATCAAGCATAAAATCCGGGAAGTGATGGACCTGGCGTTTATCGGTGTTGCCGTTCGCTGTTAATCTGGACAACGGGATAGTCACAGATGTCCGAATCGGACTCGCCGCTGTTGCGCCTACGCCGATTCGTGCGACGGAAGCAGAGAATCTCTTAAGAGGGAACGAACTTACAGCGGAACTCTTGGAACAAGCCGGCGAAGCAGCCGCAGCCGCGTCCAGCCCGATATCCGATTTACGATGCTCCGCAGAACATCGCAGAGAAATGGTCGATGTGCTCACGAGGCGAGCCTTACAAGAGGCTGTTGCAAGGGCATAAGCCCAAGTATTTGTTTACATAAAGATGCGCTGAGGCACGGAGTGTTCCACCTCGCGTTGTACTATGGAATCATGGTGGATGTATAATAAGGAGAAAAAATATGGCAAAACACCCTGTCAGTCTAACGGTCAACGGGGACGAACACGATTTACTTATTGAACCGCGCAAAACGCTACTCGCTATACTTCGCGATACGATCGGTTTGACGGGTACCAAAGAGGGATGTAGCACAGGCGACTGCGGTGCATGCACTGTTATCCTTGATGGCAAAGCCGTCACGTCTTGTATGGTACTTGGTGTCACCGTCTCTGGCAAAGAGATTACGACCATCGAAGGTTTAGCCAGCCATGGAGAACTTCATCCCTGTTCAACAAGCATTTATTGACACGGGTGGTTATCAGTGTGGTTTCTGCACCCCCGGTTACATCATGGCATCAAAGGCACTCTTAGACGAGAATCCGGACAGGACTGAAGAGGAGTTCAGGCACGCCCTCGGCGGGAATATCTGCCGCTGTACTGGATATACAAAGATTCTTGAAGCAGTTCTGAAAGCGGCGGAAGAAGTCCGAACAACTGCCTAAAGGACAAATTTTAGTCCAACTCACAAATTCTAAAGCTGCTGTTATAAGCAGCGACCCTCAATCCGAAATTGAGGCTGAAGATTTATTTGTAATAGGAGAAAACATGGCAAAGACTCATCGTGGAAAAGGCATAAGACACCTCTATATCGATCCAAACGGGAACCTCCACAACGGCGAATATAATAACGGTCGTGGCACCTGTCCGGTTTGTGAGCGTACCGGCGTGAAAGTGCTTTATGAACGAGAAGTCGGCGAGAATACCGTGAAGGTCTGCAAAAGATGCAATACTGCCATCGGACGCGGTAAACTCCACCACCTCGTTGCAAGTGCATAATGGTTATTAGCGGTCAGCGGTCAGCGGTCAGCGGTCAGTAAGAGGGTGTACCTTCACCAGAAACCTCTTTGCTGATGGAAACCGAAAGCCGGCAGCCGACGGCCATAAAAGAAGGAGAATTCGATGTCAAATATACTGTTGTCGGTCAAACAGTCGCACGGGTTGATGCTGTCGAAAAGTGACAGGTGCCGCCCAATACGGTGCAGATGTCCACCTGTCGGTATGCTCTACGGCAAGATCGTCCGTAGTAAACATGCTCACGCCAACATACTCAGTATTGACACAGCGCAGCCGAAAAACTTCCCGGTGTCAGGGCGATCATTAATGGAAGCGATTAAACCGCCGGCACCTCAACTGCAGCGAAGCAACAAAGGACGGTCCCAATCGACGGAATCAGCGCACAAATTCGGACACTGTCTCGTGATGGAGAACGATCACAGCGACGAATCAGCGAACTTGAGGCAGAATTAGAAAAATATCCTGATGAAGCTTTACATAACATCTCTGCCGAAAGCCACTCCGAAGCGGGTGATGTTGGAAAAAAGGGTTTGCCGAGTCGGATGTCGTTGTTGAAGATGCGTATGTAATTCCGCGTGTCCATCAAACTTACATGGAACCTCACGTCTCTGTCGCAAGTGCTGACTCATCTGGCAAAGTCACCGTCTGGGCATCGACCCAAGGTCCTTTTGCTATCCGTTCTGGTATTGCTGGTACGTTGGGCATCCCGTTGACGCAAATTAACGTCATCGGAACGACAATGGGCGGTGGTTTTGGTGGACGTTTTGGTGTCATCATTACGCACATTCCAGCTGTGCTGCTTTCACAAAAAACAGGACGTCCCGTTCGTGTACAGATGACGCGTGAAGAGGAATTCACTGATGGTAGACCGGCACCCGGATGTGTTATCAAACTGAAAACAGGTGCTACGAACGACGGACGTATCCTCGCACGGCAGGCACTCGCCTTCTGGGATTCCGGATCCGTCTCTGGTGCTTCCATCGGTAGCACGATTCGAGTCCGTGGGGTCTACAAGATTCCCAATCTCAAGGTAGACGCTTACGGCGTTCACACCAACAAATCCGGTACAGCCGCATATAGGGCACCGGGTGCACCGCAAGCCATTTTTGCTGGTGAATCTCAACTCGATGAAATTGCTGAACGTCTCGGCATGGATCCCGTTGAATTCCGTCTGATGAACATGCGCGAAGAAGGCGATCCTAGTCCAGCAGGCGGAAGTGAACCCAAAGTGGGTTACAAAGAGACTTTGGAAGCGGTTGCAGATGCCGCCGGATGGTGGGATCGGGAAACTGACGAAAACCAAGGATGGGGCGTTGCTGTTGGTGATTGGACAAACGGGTGTGGACCCGGTTGGGTCTACGTTTCCGTTCACGAAGACGGAAGTGCTCGTGTCTTCCACGGCTCTATGGACATCACCGGAACAGATACCATGATTTCACAGATTGTCGCTGAAATCCTGACTGTGCCGTATAAAAGCGTCACAATTCGGCGCGGTGATACAGATTCCGCTCCTGTATTCCAACAGTTCAGGCGGAAGCGTTGTGACATTCACGATGGGTAACACTGCAAGTTGCGGCGAAGACGCTTACCAACGGATTCTCGAACTCGCCTCAGAGCGACTCAATACTAAATGTCGGACAACCTTGAACTCAAAGATGGAGCTGTCCATGTTATCATCTCCGCAGACCCGCCGAAATCCATTTCGTTAGGTGAACTCGCGCATATAGCTTGTCCACACCGGTGGTCCTATCGTTGGAAAAGGTTCCTTTGCCCG